GTTCCTAGCCCTTATAGGACAAGGCTGAAATATTTCTTGAATTACAATGTCCCTGATTTTTGTACTATTTCATATTATATATGAAAAAAATAAAAAAGGAAAACCTAGGGTCTGAGACTATCAAGAAGAGCTTCAGGTCTATGGAGAAGACAACATGGTCAAATTCTCACTTTCTTTATTCCATGGAATCATTCTATGGAATTATGTTATGGAATCATGGGAGTGTGGTGAACAGAGCTTTGGGAAAACATCAAGAGAAAAGAAAGTATGGCTAGCTGCAATGCTACATATCCTATGCACTCAAAAGAGATGAGAAGAAAAGTATCAATGCCAGGTTTTGTGTAACACAATATATCCATCCAAAATATATAACATATCCATCATTCCAATTCATGCTCACACTACTAGTAAATGGTCTTTATTTTAGTGAGATGCAAACTGGCAAAAAAAAAAAAAAAAAAACCCAAAAAACAAAATCCTTTAACTTAATTAACTTAATGCAGGGAAAATAGTTTATACAACCTGACACAGGTTTAAAAACAATAATAAAAAAAACTTACCCCTAATGGTGACAATCTGCTCATTTAAGTGATTTATATAAGGAAGTTGAAATTACTACTTGTGCTTTTTAATGGACAGCTTAACACATCTCTAAATGAAAGCAATCTACCATCAAAAAGACATCTGAATACCAAATAATAGCAAGAAAAAGGAAACTCATAGTGAAAATGCTAGACACTGTTAGTAATACATGGTGAACCAAGAGTCTAAAAAGGAAAGTGGTCCTTGGATCCATTTTAAAAAGGTTTCTTTCTGTTATACCTTTCATGAATCCAACCAGAGGCCCAGATATGACTAAGGTGCATAATGAGCACCAAGAGATAGTTGGTGAGGAGACCTAGGCCAATAACCAATCCAGGAAACCTGATGCTACAGTTAGGACAACAAATGCAGGAGACCAAGACGGTCTGGATGTCATGATCTTCAGGGCTTTAGGTATAACTCATGCCTGGCTTAGAAAGCTAAGGAGATGAAACAGTGTGTACATATTATTTAAGTTTCAGACAGAAAAGCATGAATTTGAGCACATGACTGATAATGAACAGTTGGCTGTAATTTTTGGTGTAGTGTTCTGTACCAAAATGGCACCCTCACAGTTATTCCAAGACCCATCTTTAAGAGGATTGGCTGCCAACTGTTACTTCAGAAGACCTGACTTTGCAGAAATCATCTGAGAGAGAGAGATCAGAACTGTGCAGAAATGCCACATAAAATCTAGCTTAAAAAACTGTTTCATGGGTAAAAGCCAAGGTATTATTTTTTAGTATCAAAATGCTGCTGTGTTTAAACCCATTCCTCATTTATTTGGTTTTAATAAATAAATTTATTAAATTGTATGTAGTCCATACATTTTTTGATGTAGCTTTTTTTTTTTTTTTTTTAAAGGAAAGTCTTACAGACATGGCTGTGAATTCATGTGTAGAGATTTCAAACCTGGCTGATCAAACCCAATCTTTCCTCTCCAACAGTTAAACACGACCGTGAAGTAGGCATGTATCAGCCCTTTTCATTTTTTTTCCATTTTTCAACATATTTTCATAGCCACAAACAATGTATCATAACAAAAACATGTTCTAGTTCTCATTTTAATAATACTCAAACACCAAGAAAGCTAGATAGACAATTCTAATTCTTAATTCCTAAAAGACTGTAGATGTATTTCTACAGAGGATCTATAAGTAAAAGAAAAAAAGTATAAGTGAAAAAAAAAAAAGGTATCATCTTGTTTTCTCATGTAATGCCTTGAATCACAGAGTCATCTTGCATTTCACTGCCCTTAGACATGTTAATGACATTTATACTTGGTGCACAACATTTTAACATCTTCAAACAAAGCATTTCTATGTCAGTTTCATTAACAATGATACTGAAGAAGAAGTTAGGCAACACTGCAGAGTGTGGGAGGAACTCAGGTTCATCCAATCTGAAAATCATGGCACCATGGTAATAAAACAATTAAGAGCATCCTGTAGGGAAAGACAAGTCCGACAATTAACCTTCAATGCCAGTAAGTGTTATCACTTTCTTAGCATAAGTCATATATGCGATATGAAGATAAAAACTTTTAATTCCTAACCTGAATCACTAACCAGAATAGGCATATATTTTAAATAAACTTTTCATTTAGGAAAATGTTTAAATTTTAAAAATTTAATAAAATTACTTTATGGGAGATATACTATTTTTCAGAAGCCTCAATTCCTAGGAGAACTAGAGATGTAATCATAGCTCTATAAACAAATTCCTTCAAACTAAATAAATAAGCTAGTAATCCTTTTTTATGAAGAGTGAGAAGGATAGAATAACCTCAAAATTAAATGTTACCTTCTAGGTAATACCTGGATTAAAGAGTACATACTCTAAAAGAAACCAGAGTTCCTTGGAGATCTAGTGGATTCCAGTAAAAGTATAAGATGAATCTAGAATACCTTGTGTCAGAAAGTAAGCAAATGTTCCCAAACAACTGAACAAGCCAAAAGGACTGAGAAGGCAGCCTGAACAACTCTCCACTAGCCAAATCTAGGATAATTTGAACATCAAAATAAAAATGACAAAACAGACCAAAGCTTACTAAATAAAGTAGTGAGCTATGTGGCCTTAGTGATTTAAATAAATGAATAAATAAATAGCAGGAGGAGAAAGATTTTCTTATCATAAAAAGCCAACTAATACATTCAAAAGAATAAAATAAGAAACCACCTTTGGCAACTGTCAAAATAATAATTAATTCAGCAAAATAAAATAATGGATTAAAAACCAGTGAAAGTATGATAAAAGATAGAATATTCATGATATTAAAATGCCTTCTTAATAACAAGGGGGCACTTCTTCACAGAGAAAAGACCTGACCTGTTCTGTCTTAATCAAGGAATCAAAGTGAGCATCACCAGCAACAGACAAATGAAATCATGTAATAAGATAGGAAAAAAACACAGCTTCATTTATGATATTACTATCAAAAATGCATAATCAAATCATGGGCATATAGATAAATCCTACATTTATGTATGTGTGCGTTCTACAACATATCTAGCCTGCCCTTTTCAAAACTTCCAAAGTTATAAAAAAATCCAAGAAAGACAAAGGAACTGCTTCAGACTGGAAGTGGCTAGAGCAATATAGCAACAAAATGCAATATTCAATGCTAGACTGAATGCTGGACCCATAAGGAACACTGTCAAGAAAAATGGCAAAATTTTAAATGTGGTCTGAGAATTAGATAATAGTATCAGTGTTACTTACTAATCTGGATGGTTGTACTGTAGTCATATAGCAGAATGTCACTGTTTAAAGAAAATACAGAATCTTTGCGCCCATTTCCTACATGGAGAACAAGAAATGTCTATTTCTTTTCTGTCCCGCCCCCTCTCCACCATCCAGTTGTTTTCACTCTAGAGACAACTGACTTTCAGTTTGTTCAAAGTGTGTTCCTCTCCTAATAAACTTTACTGTTACTTCTATGAATGAAAAAAAAGGGAGGAAGGGAAGGATGGAGGTAGGGATGGAGGTAGGGATGGATGGAGGTAGGAATGGAGGTAGGGATGGAGGGAGGGAGGGAGGGAGGAAGGAAGGAAGGAAGGAAGGAAGGAAGGAAACATACACCAAAGTATTCAGGGATAATGGGACACTGCTATAGCTTGGATCTTGAATGTCCCAAAAGTCCCATGTGTTGAAGGCTTGGTCCACAGGGTGTCACAAATAGGAAGTGGTAGAACCTGTAAGAGTTAGAGCCTGCTGAAAGCTCTTCTTCATGGCCTGGAACCTCCAAAGTTGTGGGCTGAAATAAAACTTTTCTCAGGTATTCGTTATAGTGATGGAAATCTTATTAACATGGTATCATGTACATTCAAACTTCTTTACCTTTCTTGCAACCTTTTCTATAATATCAAAATTACTTGAAAGGAAAAAAAAGACATGACACCATATCCCCTATATGTGTTATAACTATTCATATAACAAATATAAACAATGGAAATAAAAGTATTAAAAGAAACCACTGCATTAAAGTATTGTGTTTGAGAGGTATTTTTAACTCTAAAAAAATCCTTTAATATCTTATTTCCATAATAGTGATAACTTTTAAGATAATCACATATATGTTCATACTTAATTCAATAAGACAACAGATATTACAAAGCATCCCTCCAGCAAAACAGAAAACGAGTAGCATAATGAAGCAAACTATTCACACTTTTTATACCTAATCAGTAATTAACTCTAAGATGTACTATCTGGCCAACTTGTTTTCTCAAACAATATATACAAAAACTCTGAAAAACAAACTCAGATACCTTGATTTAGGTGTGTGGCCTCCATGATCTGAACACCATTCACAGAGCACTGGGACCCATTCAGGGGTATCAGAGTCACTGTCCCCCCAGCATTTTCAAAGACACAGTGTTCACTCTCCAAGTCAAGGCCATGAAGAACTAAGACAGAAGAACAAAGGAGAAAGAATTTTTCACCTCTTTAATATTTACTACAATGATTCCCAACATTAACTTAGTTTTCATTTTGAACATTCTTACTCGTCCATGAAAGTATTGTGAAGGAACATTTATGTTTAGTGAGAAAATTGAAATGTAAGTGTCCATGACATAAACTGATAGAATTAGAGCATTGCATTCTGTGTTCCCTCAAAGGATATGGACATCCTTCATATAAGCAAATAAGTTCTGATATTAGCTTAATTCTTTCTTGGGGAGAAACTAGTTCACTAACGTGTTTTAACTAAGTACCACTGAGTTGCTCTGGTACTAAGCAAAACTCATCTACCAGCCACCACCCCCAAATCACAGAAAAACAGAAGGGCACAAAGGGTTCTGTGGACCTGTTATGATTTCCATGCCTCAGATAAAGAATTCTAAAACCAGAAACCAGTGGTGAACTTGGCATGGGATGGGTCTCTGGGGGCCTAAGAAGTCTCTAGAACCTGTCCTGGGGTGCCCATTGCCATAGCCTGTGCCAATTCTAAGGTTTACCTTAGAATTATCTATGACTATCCTGCAACATTTTTGTTTTGTTTGAGAAGTGGCAACTATGAACACCTGTCAAAAAAAACCTACCTGATTTTTGGGGGTAAGGGGAGAGGCAGTACTAGGGACTGAACCCAAGGCCTTGCACATGTTAAAAAATGTCCTCTATGACTTGAGCCATGCCTTAGCCTATGATTTTAGGCAATGCACTCGGCCACCTGCTCAGGAATACAGACCAAGTAGCTCCCACTCTCTCCACAGAGAGAGAACTGCCCTACTGAACATTCCTAGTCATAGACAGCATGCGTTCTTATGACTCAACATCATTCACAGTTATTTTAAAAGTCAAAAGCATAATTCAACCAAAAGGCCTAATATCAAAGCTTACTCAAAAACACTTGAACCTGGGGACTTTGGGGGCAGGTTGTCAGCTCCCCTGGGCTCCTGGGAAATAGTAAATTCACATAGCAACATGCCAGGATTGGTTTGATTAATAGCTTACATTTAGTGAGAAAGCAAGTTCACTTACAGCAATTCTAAACACATTTGAATGACATTTTTCTTTCCTACTCTCTACTTTGCCCCTGACACATATACAACCATCACTACCATATCATTCTCCACAAATTGCCCATGTGATGCTCTGAAAGCCTGGTGGGACCTCCTCTGCTCAGGTAGACTCACTGGCTCTCTGTGGACATTGTAAAAACTTTTGGGAAACTCCCAAATATCAGGTGTGTTGTTTTATACTTTGTTGTCATCTTTGCGCAAATATAAGTGTCTATATCTCTTCAAGTGTCCTTAGAAAAGCCTGAAATCCTTATCTGTACCTGTTGGCTTATTTTTATCAATCATTATCCACTAACAAGCATAGATAATTAAAGTAACTGTACTTTAGAAAGTACTGATATGGTAGAGAATATATGTAGGTGACAAAGGATTCAAAGCTCCATTTTACTCACTAAATTAACTGTTCTGTGTTATTCTCTTAAATTGTGTGTAAAATCACAGACATATATATACTGATTGCTATAATAGTTGAAAAAAATCACTGGGAAGAGATAATTGATAGTCTCACCAATATCTTGCTCTGTTGAAGCATCTTCTCTACCAACATATGTCTGACCTTCCTGGGAAGAAAAGTCAAGTAACATTTATTAGTAAGATCTGGAGGACAGGTCGCTTCTCCACTTTTCATTGAAGTTCAAGCAACCTGGTGGCCGATGGATGAGCAATGTCATAGGCAGCCACAGCCCCACTGCAGAATAGGCTAAGACTCTGCATGGACACCCAACATGGGCTATACAATGACATGCACCACTCCGTAGGCTTACTGCTCAACAATGGTTAGGCTTCAGAAGACTTTCATGTATCAATAATTTTCTTAAACCAGCAATCTCACTGAGTTTCTTTCAGTGGCCAGGGGATTCTTTATGTCTAAAGATATGATATATGGGATAGGTCATGGACCAGAGAGAGGATATTAAAGACAAGGTCCCGGAAACAACTATTGATAGTAATTGGAACTCTGTTCTATGGACATGGGTAACCTGTTCAGAACCAAGTCCAACAATCTAGGAAGGAGGCACAGTTTTATAATCAACCATGAGAAAGAAGGAAACTGTGCGTATTAAATTCCAGTTCTAGCTGCTTGCAACTTTCCTCCTTAGTCTTTTTGACATTTTGCTCCTTATCTCCCTTTTGCTGATTCTTCAAAATAGAAACCAAAATGAATGACTCGTCATTTAACTTTAGAACTACATAAACATGAGAACTTCAAATACCACAGAATCCCAATGAACTGCTGAAAAATCCCCAAAGGGCTCAAGGATTTGTTGTATATTCTTTAATTTAAAAGTTGAATTCATGGCCATAAAGTATTATAATAAACCTTGCTAGAGTCTAAAGGGAAAACTGGGAACAAAATTAGAATGTTCCACTTAAGCAGTTTCTACCTTCAAGTGATATAAGATGATTCCAGTACTCAGAAGGTCATCATCAATGCCAATCAAATGAGGCAGCTCTGAATCCAAAACAACTCCAATCCCTTCTTTCCTAAGGGCTAGAGTTTGCTCCTGAAATTAGGAGAAAAGAGAATAGGAAAAGGTTACTTAGGAAGGAAGAGTGATCTTAAGATTGTTAAGCAATATTTTATTTCTTATTTAAAAAACTTTTTACTGTCCAAAAAAAAAAAAAAAAATCAGGCCTTTTAGGAAATGTCAAGGTGAAAAGCTGACAAATTCCAAAAGATAAAGATTGGAAGTGAATTTTTCAGTCTTAAGGTTAAGCTGTGCTAGTTCAGATTGGTTCACACCAAACAGCATGACATCGTGTTGTGGTTATAGATGTAATAGGGAAGCAAGTTTCAAGCTATTAACCAGGGCTCTGGTCAGAGACACTTGTGATGAATCTCTTTCTTTATCTTTCTATCAGACAGCAATGATCAAGACACATCTCTGTATCTCAAAGCCACCCAAAACATAGACACTATTCCTAACACTTCCGGCACAAATAAATTATATTTTGGTGTTATTTAAGCATTCAAACAACACACAGTCTACCATTCTTTAAGTAACGGATTCAGAATTTCTCAAACTAGTGCCAAAGAAAAACTTAAAGTTGCAGACAAGGGAATTCCAAAGAGGTTCTGGGGAGAGGACATTGAAGACAGAGAAATTCAACCAGGCCTTCTTCTCTGAAGACATTTGAAGTTTCAAATGCATATCCACAGACCTGAAGTCACACAAGAGGGCAATGGAGAGAAGTAGGAAAAAAAAGATGGTTCAAAAAAAAACCACATAAAAATCACCACTTGAAAGAAAGCAATTTAATTTAACAACCATTAAATAGATATGCAGAGAAAATGACCAGTGCATAACTTAGATTCAAGAAAAGGAAATGAAGCATATCATTGTTCTTCAATTACTCCTCTTATCAGACAGGCTCTCATTCCATGGCTGGGAACCTCAGTCTTTGAGGTTAGGAGACTTAAGTAACCTTGATTTACTATACTAAGGCCCTTGCAAATCTTAGCTAAAATGAATACTCTACATAAAACAACCCCTACTCCTACCTCTCAAATACTGGAAGAATTCATGCTTTTCCTTCTGCTGAGGTAAAGCAAGCAGAAGTGGGAAGTATGTGATTTCTTTTTTAAAGATACATATATATATACTACAGTATGCAATTTAATCACCCTGCTCCATTTCATAAAACAATGTCCCCAATGGAAGGTTTGGTCGCTTTGAACTGTGTCACAGTACTACACACAAGGTAAGTAGCTCCATAGCAATGAATTGTTTCAGGTATCTAAGTCCATATGCAAAGAAAAGTGGCTATTCTCCTAAGTCCAGAAGCATATGTATTTTCTTTCTGTGAAAAAAAAAAGTGGACAATAAACCATCCCCCTGAAATGAAAAGGCAATATTTTAAACTGTAATAGCTCCTACTCAAACTAGAAAAATGGCTTTGGACTACATCCAAGTTTAGTTTAATGTTCTTTAAAAAACTGAAAAACACTTTTTTTTTTTCTTCCTTGAAGTAAGTCTCATAGACACTGAAAAGCATTGTAAGTTCATAATTTTGGAGTCATTAGACCAAAAACATTATTTGTTCCCACCCACGCCCCCAATATACACATGTACCAAAAAACACACATAAGTGCACACTCACAAACTCTTCCATATACAAAATGGGTAAAACCTGGACTACAAGAAGTTTTCCAGGATTGAGAGTGGGGGCAGATGAATTCATGATTAATGCTGCCCTAAAGCTCTGTGACATTCAAGCTGCATTCAACTACATGATATTATAAAAGTGTCACCTCATAAAACTGAAAACGAGGGTTTAAATCATTGCTCAAGTGAAAAAGTAATTTCAGACAAAAATATCTATCACATATAAAATATTTATTGAGTGGCATCTACTGTTTTACATAATTTACGAAACACCTCTCAGATAAGATGGAATACTTAACGTAGCAGAGGTGGCTACCCTCCCCCAACTTCTGGCACATTAGGCCCCAGAGAAAGAAAGACACAAAATATGTAGAGTTACAAATATTTTGCGTTCAATCAAAGCTTTCAGGCAACAAAGCTGATTTGGTGGGAAACAAAAAAAGATTAACACTATAGACTGACTAAAAGTGTCAACACAGAACATCAGTTTATTGTAAGCATCATGTTTATTACATTTGTGAATAATAAGCCCAATAAGTCTTTCTTCAACATCCACTCACGTTTTCAGATAAAGCACCTCTAATTGAAAACATGCATCCTGTGCTGGGGCTGACACAGAATCACCCCCTTTCTGGGGGCTTTGTAAGGGGTGGCAGGCAGGGCTGCCTAGATTCCAGGGGAGACTGCATGAGGATGTGAGGGGAAGTCACTTGTTACCCCCCCATTGATCAAAGATTCTACCTCTTTTAATTAGAGCTATATCCTTAATATCTAGGACTGTGCCTTACAAAATCCAGCAACTTTCTTGAATAAATGAATAAATTATGAAATATACAAAAACTCACTGGCTGGCAGTGTAGCTTATTGGTAGAGCATGTGATTAGCACACAAAAGCCCTAGGTTTAATCCCCTGCACCAGCAAATCAAAGAAAATCAAACAACAACAAAAAAAAACTCTTCGACAACAAAAACCTATTGTTTTTTTGGGGCAGCCCACCTGGAAACTATGATTTGCTTGGGAAAACTTTGGCAATGTGTCTGCCCCCTAAATAAAGAGTGCTCTGAAAGCAGAGATTGTTTCCTCACACTGAGTTTACTAGGTAGATATAGCTACACCAGGCACATAGTAATTACTCAATAGATACTGAATATTTGGTACTGAAGGGAATGATTTTTAATTGTTTTTTGTCCAAATAGCCAAAAATTAAATGTCAGAATCGTTTTGTATAAATTTATTCTACAGAGAGTTAAATATTTCATTAGTGAAATTTTGTAGAGGTGGCCCCCATCTTATTAAGTACACTTAACTTCTGTAACCTGGAACATAAACACTTATCAAAGTGTGTGGGGATTTAAAGCACATGCCTACTGTGGGTATCTGGAGAACAGGAGGAAATCAAGCCGCAAGACTTCCATAAAAAGAAAAATCCCAGACTTGGGTGTGGCTCAAATGGTAGAGCACCTACCCAGCAAGCTCAAGCCCCTGAGTTCAAACCTTAGTACCACAAAAGAAGAAAATCCTATATAGCAGAGCTACTTTTCAATTTTTTAAAAACTTGAATGTTATTTTGTCAAAATTTAACAGATGGAAAATAATTTGAATGATTTATTGTAGTTCGACTACATGTTTCTTTATTACAAGAGGTATTTCCTAAAATATGCCTCTAAATCAAAAAAAGACATTTTGGAACCTGTTTACTATGTGCACATATTTTTTCATTCCGTGGTTTGGCTAGAAGCACCATTCCCTTAGTGTGCATCTGTTTGAGGATGTCTTCTTCCTGCCCTGAAACCTGAATGCACATTTGATCCTATTTCCTTTCCCTCGGAACACTGAAGACATGAATCTATTGTTAAAATTGAATGCTATTCAAGAAGTACTAAGCTAGTCTAACTTTAAGTGCATGGAAGATAATTTGGTTTTCTGCCTGGATATTTAAAGAAGTTTTCCTTTATCCATGAAATTCAATAGCTTAATTAGGGTAAATCTCAATGTTGAAGATTCTGCACTTTCTGTTTTCCTAAGACACATGAAATTCTCTTAATCAGCACAGTCAGTACTTTTATTTTTTTCATTTCACACAAATTGCCTTGTTTTACTTTCCATCTTCTGCTTCATTTGTTGAGTGTCTACTTCAGGAACACTAATTATCCTTGTATTATGTTGTCACTGTCCTCCATATCTTTCATCTTCCCATTGCTTTAATATCTGGATCATTTCATTGTATTCACTGAGAATATTCAGCATTTACTCTTACTAACTTGATTTTTACTAGCATCTATTCCTTTCCTTGAGGTTTCTAATTTCATTTCTTAGTCCTGCAATGATGTTGTTTTAGAATCTCCTTTTTTTCATCTCATTCTGTTTTTTTATTATCATCTTGCTTTGTTTACTGAGTACGGGTTTCCCATTGACTTGTCCCATGGAAGGAAACAATTGTAAGGAACTCTTGTCTATGCCTTGAGTTATGTTTTCATGTAGATTGGGATCTTCTGTCTTTTGAATGCTGTCTTTCATTTTTCTTCTTTCTTTTTTTTTTTTTCATATCCATTCATCTATGGCTACAGTTACATGTATATAAATGGGCCTACTTTTTTCTTTGCCTTGCATATGCTTAGGTGTGTCTGTACAGAAAATTCCATATGCTATAACATAAGAATCCTATTCTGCCATATCTGTGATCTTTCTAGTTAGAAGACTGAGTAGTCTGGAATGATCAAGGACAGGAAACTGAGACACGGTAAATATTATGTTCAAATTCCCAAGCTCTGCCCTCTTTTACCAAAAATAAGAGATATATCCCTTAATGGGCTCCCTCCTGCTTGAGAGCAGACCCCATTCCCATGGGGAGGGAGTAGGAAAGAAGCCCTTAGCTTCCTTGTTTCACCAGCACTTTGCTTACAAGAGGGCATTAGTTCTGCTTTTCTCTTCACTCCAGTCACCATTATTAGCATTTGCTAATACCTCTCAACAAGAATAGGACAGCCAGGCTGGAGGTATGACTCAAGTGGAAAAGCACCTGCCTTGCAAGCACGAAGTCCTGAGTTCAAACTCCAGCACCACCAAAAAAACAAAAACGAAGCAAAACAAAACAAGAGGGCTAACCTGATCCTATTGAGAGTGGAGGGCACTGAGAATCATCATGGGATCAGCTTCTGAAGCATAGAATTAGGAACACCTTATCACACTCTTTCCTTCCACTTAGTGAGGAGCTCATGACCTTTACTCATCTTCCTCCCCTTAGTGATTTCAAGAATATTGCTACTGCAGGCTTGTATGTTTGTTTTCTTTTTACTATTATTTCTTTGAAATCTGTGATATCATCTCCAACTGACTCTTTAGCATCAAAGTCAAGAACAGGATTACAAAAGCCTACAAAAAGAAGGAAGGAAACAGG